TAAAACGTTCCTGAATGCGGAAAGCTCAGCCAATAATAAGAACAGAGAATTCTTATTTCCCAGCTACTGCAAAATGAATAACAATCATTGAGAACCAGCTGCTATCCTGACTCCTGCGCTCTATTCTTAATTAGCACTCGTAATAAATTTTTATCTGCAGGCTAGAACCATCAAAAAATCCAAAAAATTCGAGAATAGAGCTCCAGGTGTACAGTGCAGCTCCGAATGTTCATGATAACTCAGTAAAGTAGGAGGCGGAGTTTGAGCTGGGACAAAGGGTAAGACTGGAGAGGGCAAGACACTCAGGTGACTTCCGTCCTTACTTTTTATTTCCATTTAGGAACAGCTATGCATTTGTACTAGCCTGTTAATTGAATGAAGTAATGGAGGCACGTCGAGAACGTAGAAGGTGTGCTTCGTTCCTCTTTAAAGGTTTTTTTGAAAGCGAGGAAGCAACTTTTCATTGTGGGCCAAGCCATGGTCCCGAATCAAAAATTCCCAAGAATCGCGTGCACTTGGCGTCCGATTTTTGACCTGCTCCCAGAAAGAAAACATTCCTGGCCACGACAACAACATTCATTTATGGACGTCGTGCCGTGTTTTATTCGACACACGCACTTTCGAGTCTTCAGCACGTCAGCATCGGAGTGCAGCACATCAACTGGACGTAATTGAGTTCCGATGAATATCTCATGATTTGCTACACATTGCCACTGCCGGCCGCATCTTGTGCACCACAGCTAATCGGCTGAACAGCACCGAATGACTACCGTGAAAATCACAAATTAAGTGCAGCAAAAAGCCCTCAATGTTATGAACGAACCCATTCAGACATGCATGGCGTTGCTCAGGGTAAAAACACATCAACGTTATGAAGTTGATGAGACGGATAGCCAAGTTCTGCAGCCAAATCTAGAAAAGCGGCAATCAAGCTGGATGGCCCTGTGGCATCAGGAAGAAATGTGGACATGGGCAAACCAAAAAGATGAACAACCTTACTTTTTCATATGGTTTGCCCTATTAATCACTACGTTGGTCCATAAACTCCCTTGAGACATGCAGATAAACGCCAAGTGTCGACTTCTCCGATGTTTTATATCAAGTCGTGCAATCTGGCTGTAGAGCTTCGTTGATGTATGACCCCATTGAGCGATATATGTACGTGTTGTCCGGCTACTTCTTTCTCCTGCGGGACTTCCACTCGTTCATAACATCAAGGGTTGCACAGTAAAGTCGTTCAGTTACCAGGAAACCACTACGCATGAAAGCACAAATTCAATAAACTAATAGACACATAGCTCCTAAAGCAGCTTCCTTCTACACATGCGCCCAACCACATGAATGGACGTCTACAAGGACCAGCCACATACACCTCAATGGAGGAAATTAAATTGACTGCGAACGCAAAATCGAAAGTAATCGCCAATAATCCTATTTTGAAAGCAGCACAGGAATTCATAATCTACTCATAAAAGGCCCGACAGCTCAGAGACCTACCTAAGTGGCACTCAACTGAAATCCAACAAGAAAAAACCCTGACCAGCACGTCCATTTGGGCTTCAAAATCACCACTTTCTGTCAGATAGAAAAATGATTACTGACTATTTTACTTTTTACAGTCAGGAACTCTCTCATGCAATCCTGTACACATCGTGAGCTCGAAAAACAATGTCGATATCTCACGGAGAAGCAAAAACAATTTGCAAGAAAAAAGATTTCGATCAGATGCAAAAATGAGGAAGTTAGAAAGGTTTTCGATTGGTATTATTACTATGGTTACTAATGTTCGAGTAACTAGTCGAGTTGGGGGGCTCGCAATGATAGTTCACGGAAAACCAGTCAAACCAACGCAGGGTAAGAGAGATTTGGAAGCTACAGTTACCGTTCTATTGAATCCAGGCACCAATTTGGGCGTGAAACAAAGTGACCGTAAATGTGGACACCGTCGCAACCACCAAACAAAACAAGTAATTTGGCATACAAGTTGAAGAAACCGCGATTAGGCACGCCACTTGAGACGAAAGATGTAAGCGTCAAAGGAAAGAATAGGATTGGTGGGCTCTCATTGTAAAAATTTTATAACGACATCTTTTGGCCAAGATTTATTTCGAGTTTGAAAGTTCCAGGTAAAACCTTAGTGAGGAAAAACTTGGATTATTAGTCACAAAATATCTAATAGATCTGATAAATGGACCAGATTTCCCCAAACCAAGATTTCTGAATTCTCAAGAAGTGACTCCTCTTCAATTCCTTTTCCGCCCACATCATCGCAGAGCACACACATGAGTTACCTTGACGATGTCGACATTACTTATTTATCTGTAAATCCAGGATGCCTCTGAGCTTTCACTCACAATCATTCGAATGAAAAACATCATACATAGTATCAATAGAAATGTAAGTTTGACAGAAAGGACTCCTCAACTAAATACAACTTAATAATCAAAGTTCATCGAAAACAAATGAAAATGTTAACAATGTTGATGAAAACATGCGATCGATGAGATGCCTTTGACATACATAGTGAATGGACAGGAGAACAAGGCCTGGACCAACTTTTCTTTGAATTTTCCATGCATGGTGGTTACTCAGTCACCAAAATACTTGCTCCGTAATGTATGATACAGAATTCTGCATCATCTGATGTCACTAACACTTCATAACAGAATTTGAATGGAAGAGCGCTTCAGGAAGGGATCGTCAACGCTAAGCGCTTCACCTTTTTTTATGTTCATGTTATTGCGAAGGACTGGTTCACATAAAACTGTTGTCCCATGGGTCGCCGTTATAGGCTCACGTCAAAGACTTCTCCGAGGAAGAAAAATAACACCATAACTTTAAAGTCGTGCAATTCGTTTTATGTCCGGCACGGCAGCCACAAATTTAGTTCTGAGCCCTGAAATTTCCGAAAACTGGAAAGAAAGTGCAAGCGATGAGCAGATGCTGGCTTTCGGGTTTACGAGGGGAGATTTGGAATTCAGCTGATTCCACCCGCTTAAGTTGAACATTGGTCATAAAGAGGTACGGAAGGGCTCATAAGTCACTTGGTGCATCAATATGATTGGATGGTGAATTAACTTGAGGATACTAAGTAACAAATCCCGACTATGCGATATTACTGGATAGAAGTAAGCAAAAAAATGCGGCCACGATCGATAGATGGCGATGAATGAAATCCCCGTGTAGACATGCTGCTGGCTGCTGCTGCTGCCGGACTGGCTAATACTTGAATTCCTAGTGACTCCAACATTCTTTAGAAGATGTTTTCAATTATTGAGATTACAAGTAATTAAGGTATAGTGTTTTATCCAAACAGCTTAATAACACAGCAGTAAAGCGGTGCCCACAAGCTGTCTGTAATTCAATTTTCAGGAGAACTGGTAGATGGATATGGGATTAGAAGGGAACACGGACTACAAAATCGTTTATATGCTATGCTATTATCGAATAACAATGAAAAGAAGTCGTCAAGGCAGGAACTGAACTAATGGAACCCATCAAGACCTCCAATAATGAAGAATTGCCTAGTGAAAAGAATAAAGGACACGGCTATTCGCATGGGTCCCACCCTCTACTTCTGTCTGTTCAACACTATCACCGTTTCCCAGAAGGTTTGCAGGATTTATGGCGACCTGCCGATCCGTTTCAGTATGTCAACTTCTGGAGCATTAAAGTACGCCCCTACATCAAATTGTCTTAAGGTGATACGCACCCTTTGTAAACATATAATGAAGAGCTCTCTCGCGGTTATACGAACCCAAATTCCTTACGCAGCAACTAATAGGGAAATGAAGAATAAATAATCATAACGAGTTGATCACTTGGATTCCTCGAGTTAGTCATATTACCCGGAACATATAGAATGGTACTCCCATAAGGATGTAATTGCTATTGGTTAAAATTATCCATCTTGGATGTGTGTTCCCCTCCTATCAAATCGTCTCCAACCGAAAGACATTCGTGTAAGCGAATATTAGGAAGAAAGAGAAATGCAAGCAAATCTTTCAAGGTTAGCGGGAGATTCAATTGGTTTTTCTAGTGTATGAATCTATGAGCACGTAGTGGAAATCTACAGAAAGGGACGGGTCGGAAGTCGTCATCTGATCCGCGCACTTTATATAGGTACCCATGCGGACGTTCTATGTACTTCCTGGAGAGCAGAACCAAAGTGTCCAGAAAAACGTGAAGATCAGCGTATATAGACGATTATAAGGCTTTAGAAAGGTAGAGAAATCAGGGCTTAAGCGAAAATGTAATGACAAAGGTTGCTTGGAAGAGGTGTTTGGACGAGTTGCCCAAATGTGTGCGTCATTGAGTACAGCTGGCTACAGTAAACTGTCCTTGTGCAATGTGCGAGTATGAATGATGCAACCTCTACAGCTCTACAACACCGTGAGAGCTCGTCTCCTTCAGGTGGATACGTCGTTGTAGCTCTCTTTGGGGCCTTCAAAACGCCCTGTGTAGACCGCTTTTCGGCCCGACAGAGCCCCTCGTCCTATGTTCGGGGGTCACAGGTTCATCTTAAGGGAAACGCAAACTATGTCTTCAATGCAGCCAATTAGGCACAATCTCTCGTAGAGATTCGCGAAAAGAAAAAAAAAACTTGAGAAATTAGAAATCGCGGAATGAAAGCCATCAGAGGAAACCGCAAGTCAGGACAGTAAACTGGATCACAACTAAAAACAACTGCAGTCAATCACGAAACGTTAATTACGATGTGCTCTGAATTCTGCCGAATATTTTTATGTATCGGAATCAGAATCGGACAAGTCAACATTACTGCTCTGGCGGTACTTTTGAGAATAATATCTTCTGCCACCCCTCCAGTCTCAGTCCTAGATATGTCCTTAACCAGCTATTGGCATTTTACACATGCCTTCAATTAGCTATCGAATTCGATTTTGAAAACACCTGCGGGTATGTTTGGAGATAAGCTGTGTCAAGAAATGCTGATATAAGGAAATCGTCAAATCCTGCACTGTACATATGCATAAGATACCTCAGTAACGTAGAGCTTCTCTGCAGCAGTAAACAAAACTAATAGGTCCTAGTTTCCCGGAACCTTTGCCCATTAATCTTAAAAATAAGACACATAGAAGCCACTTCCCGTTGCCCGCTAACATCACATGCTGCGATTTCGTGGGCAAGCAAAACTGAACGAATTTTCCGATACCTTCAGCATCCACTCCACAGCCACATTCTACGCAAGCTGGAGTATGGCCATATACAAGGTCCTGCTGACTCATCGAGGAGACCCAGTCCAATATAAAAGTATATACAAATTATAGTTATGCAGTATCGTAGCTACTGATATTCCTACATAGCAACAATTCATGCTCTTGCGCTTTCGGCAATAGTTGCTTATACGCTCTGTGGTCGCTCTCAAAAAATTGTCGTCAAAAAAGATTAATATAAAAGCAATCCTAGCTGAAATCTTCTAGCTAAAGAGACCAAAGTTGTAATACTGGTATTGAATATGACTACGGAAGTGTATTGAGTGCCCTAGCCTAGCACACAGCCTTCGACACTCGAATCTAACGAGGCATGCAACCACGCCCACCATCATCGAAACCTCTAATAGCTTGCGAGTGTCAAGCCCGTCACCTCTAATGCCATCTGGCATATGGAACCCCACTATATATTCCGCCTACTTTTCCTTCTCATGATGTTTTTCAAAAACATTTCACATCAATAGCGAAAGATATTTCATGTATATAATCCACCACCAACCTCACTGGAATGTCTCGGGCATCGACATAGCATCGTAACAACTTTTTAATCACCCCTACGTCCTCTTCTGAACCTAATAAAAACGCTGGAAATATTAACAGCATAGGTCATCCCGGCAAACCCAAATTTCAAAATGCATGACTAACAGCCATCGACAAATAGTTTCAGGATTTTCCAATCGCTTGCCTGTGCTCCGCGCGAATCCATTGCGCTTCCAGTCACTAGGTCTGGCTGTGGCACGACAAAGCTACTAGAAATGGCTTAGCTTCAGTTTTCTAAGACCACGCTGTTCCATCAATAAATAAGAAATTATTCCAAATAGCGACCAAAACACCTTGCGAAAATTGTCATCTTGCCGTGAATGATTTTAGGTCCTTTATGGACCAAAAGAATGATTAGTTTTCACCTATACATTCGTCCATCCTTATGCCGTCGCACATTTTCAAACGATTATCCCCTCATCTTTTCCTGTATAGCAACTACACTCCCGAGGATATCTATCTATAGGTTGATGCATAATTATTGTGGATTTTTTTTCGCGGCTTCTTTCCTCCCGATACAATTCCAATATTGATTTCGGCATTTTCATAGAAATAATCTTCTCGCTTTACTTAGCGGAAGTGTGGCTAGGTCGACTTCATATTCGCCACACTATGCTCTATTGCTTCAAGAAAGATTGGAAGATGGCACAGCCACTACGGCGAACTCTTAGGCGATCGAATAGTTAGCTGAAGCAACTCAAAAAATGGGGTCTGCTCCTACATCCACCCTAATCATCAACAGAAACTGCTGTAGATTATCAAGTTAATCGTCCGTTGAAAAAAAAATTGGCCGGCGAACGGAACTAACGACGGAATGGATGGCATGATGACTGGTAAAGAAGTGGATCGCCTCCAGGAATCGAAACTTCTTCGCCTGTAGAATTCAGCTGCCTAGCAAATAGGAAGCAATGCTTGAAGGAGATAGCGGATGTTTTCCGGAGCAGTTACTTGAACATGACTTTGTTGAATTTTTTCGTTTTTAAACAAAATATGTTGAGAAAATATCCGCAATAATCAAGCATCAACCTGTTACAGTGATCTGTATAACTATAACTAAATTCTAAACAGAATTAATCACCCGCTCGAAGAAATCGATGATCAACGGGGACGACAGGTGAAACTGTTAAAACGCACAATAATTGAATGTAATCTTCTGAATCGTAGAGTTTTAACCACCCACCCTTATCAACTGTATCATAAGAATATGATGCAAATTCGTAATCAAATCAAGATATCTATTCACACGCATTTTTTACTGTAAGGCAACATGTACAATGCAGAAAACAGCTATTAGGCAAGACTTTCACGGAAAGGAGTTCTAATTAAACCACTCAGTGAGTGCCACGAATTTGAGAAGACATATTCACAGTGGAATTCAGAGGAAACATATTATCCCATTTGATGCTAAAAAGTAGCGTCTTGAAATTCCATATGGAAGAATGAAACAATCAAGTGAATCGCTAAAAACAGCCGTAAGGCATGTTATTCACAGAAATGATACCTAATTTACTCACCTGCTGCAAGTTCTCTTAAGAATAGAAATTTCAGAGAGCGATTAGAGGATATGTTTGAATGAAACAAATTGTTTGAGTGATCGCCTTCAAAAAGTAGTAGCTAAGACTAATCAAAAAGAATAAGAACAAGGAGGAACGGAGCCACTAAAAACAGAGCCACGAATGGCAAATCTCACGTTTTGTTTGGCAACAGATCCCAATAGAACTCACAGCCTTTGTAGCAGGGTAGTTCCTAGAAAGACCGAGAACGCTTTCGAACAACAACTTCTTTACTGGGATCATCACTCAATTTGCGTTTTGACGGAAGGAAGTCATTTTGACTGAGGCTGCCTGATTCAACATCATTTTGCTGAAATGAAAATTTTCAAGAAAGTTAGGATGTATAAGCTTCAGAGACTACGAGCCTTTTTCAATTCAAACAACATCACCTTCATTATTTCTGAAGAATGTATCACTGCTTGGCTATGATCTTCATCTTTGCCTACAGTTACCTCACCATCCGTATCGGCAATCACAAGCCTGAAAAAGAAAAAAATTCTCCTGTCGAACAATAAGATTTTTCTAATTTCTTGCTATCAGTGTATTGGTGATCTTCGTTCGATGTACGAAACAACAGATCAAATCGACATCGCCTGTCGGGAACCTATCACTACTATACTCCCAAGGCGCGAAGGTAATGGGCGCTTTAAGGCTTCAACCACGCAACCGACAACCGTCCGTCCGTGCGTGCGTCTGACCGGCCGATGGTGTTGTTGGTCGTTTTGACAACACTGGATGCCGATGGATCACGTGCCAGTGGTGTCATCAAACGGCCAGCGCCGCCGTCTAGCGCCGCCATCAGTCGGACGTAGGCATGCACGGAGGACCTCGGTTGCGTCATTGAAGTCTGAAAGCAGCCAATGTCGGCCTCTAACCTATAATTCGCGGTTTGAGCACAAATCAAGGAATGGTTACAGCAAAATCGAAGTTATATTCATGGGCAAGATTTTTTTCCGCTTCATTCACGACACCTTCGCTGTTCCTGACTGCTCCATATGATGCTCAAGCTGCTCGCTTTCTTCTCTTCAATTGTGGAGCCAGGTGGTATGATTTAGTATGATTTCCCCATCCAGCCACATGTCGCAGTAGTACCGGCAAACATTAGTTCGAATATAGCGGAAAACGTCAAGGAGTTCGTTACCATGAATGAGACCTTCGTTAGCTTTCGCTGCTAGACAATTTTCTGCAAACGCTTACCCGACATCATTTTGCCTGCCTGTGCACTTCAATGGAAACCGTGACAATACAAATGATATGGGTGGAAGGCGACAGCAGAACACTTGACGTTGACTAATTTTGCGTTTTGGGATACACCCACGCAACTAATCTTCAATCAGAACCGTAGTGGCATATGAATGTGCATAAAGGCCTGCGCAGTTGGCTGAGTTGAAGTATGTCAAAGTCGGAATGCTTACCGTCCAAGGCAAGTCTGTTACGAGTTTACTTATTATAGAGGAATAAAAAGCAATGAATGAAATCAAGCGCAAATAACAAAAAACGGTGGACTCGCAAGAGAATTATGTATTGCTTTCTTCCCTGATAGGACCACTAAAATGTATTTAGGCCGTAACTTTCACCTCTGAACACTTTCTGGTTGTTCCAAGTCTGAGTCAGCCGTTGCGTTTAGGCCTTTCGCCTCCAGAGTATGCTCATTCCTTATAATATCAACCGCGAACGAGACAGACAGGTTGCTGAAAAAAGAATGGCAACTCTTAGGACTTAGTTCCACTACAACTTCATGCTCTCAAAGGATACTTGCGATCTGATTTCTTCTCTCTGCGCAACGCGCTAGGCAACGTAGCAGTGCTCTCCTCGAAAGTATGCCGAGCTTCTTGGTCACTGTCTTCATTTTCAGATTCGAGCTTTTCGGATTCCTGTTCAGAAGCAGGAAGATTACTGGCGTCTTCTGAAGTCGCTCGGACAGGATGTTCGTTTTCCTGAATGTATAAATGAAAACTTTGTGAAGATGGGTTGGAATAATCAAACGGTATGCTTTTGTTGGTATACTCAACAGTATGGTCCGCAGAATCGTTTTCAATCATCTCGTCTGCTTCAAAGAGCGTTCCTTGCAGAAGATCTAGCACGCAGCGCAGATCGCTGTCGATATCCCATTCCTCAAACTGTGGCCTAAAACCAATTACGAGTCAGTAAACAAATAAACCTAGGACATACTAGTTTTTCATTTATTGCGTTGGGTAACGGAACTGTAGATATTTTTTCGATGTAATCTTTGGAAAACGAAGCCTTTGAAAAGCTTTCACATTGATTAGGACTGATTTTTTGTGGCAAATGAAATCTCACCATATTTCAAGCATTTGTTTAGCTAGCCATCTGTTTTTGCGCTCTTCTTCTGAATCAGTGACCATATCACCAATACCGTGACCCTTTAGTATGTGCTCGTATACCTACAAAAACGATTGGATTGAATCATGTATGTAGTAGGTCCTATACCCAAATGGCTCGCATTTCAGACTTACAAGTTGTACAACCTCCACTTGGCAAAAATAATGAAGCGTACCTGATTGGCTCGGTCACCAACATCTTGTGGTATTCCCATTTTACTGGCAGTGTAAGCCGCGTACGACAAATCAACCACACCATCGACAAGCCGATATTGAAAGTCAAGTTCTGCTCCGCGGCAACGCACTTCCATGGTCTAAAATTGCTCATACATCAGGAAAAAACTTTCCGCAGAAGTTGACAGTCTCACATGGTAAGAGACGATTTCATGCTCATCCGTTATGAAGTTTGGTAAAGCATGGAAATGCGATGAAACGAACACATGAGGACAGCTGTCTTTTCCTTTCGCAGCCCAATACGACAGAGTCGACGATAGTAATGGTAGACCAACTTCCTGTGAACTGCAGATTAGAAAAAATTTTGATAGAGGAAGAAAACATGAAGCATGAAGCGTTACAAATGTGAAAAGGATAATGTGAAAAAGGCGAAGTTACACAAAAGAAAAAGTGTGGATTCCGAATAAAAAGTGCAAAGAAAATCTGCGTATACTTGAACATACCATAAACACGATTGTCAAGGTCGGAGAGGAAAACAAGAAGAAGACCAAATAACTACTCCAAACAACTTTAAAAACTTACAGTCATAGTCCCTTTACCGAATTCGTCTATAATGACAAGAGAACGCTCGTTACCTCGACGTAGTGCAACAGAGACCTCAAACAGTAGATGAAATTCAGTAATGATACCATGAAAGTAAATCGAACCTGATTCAAGTCATTTGCAAAAGTACTCATCCCATCAAGCACCGAATCAACTGTATATAACCTCGAAAATATTCGATTAACAATCCCAATGTGGGCCACTTCCGCTGGCACGAAGCTTCCGATGTGAGCAAGGAACACGAGTAACCCCACCTGGAAATCTAGAGAATAAAACACCACATACATATACTGAAGCAAAGGGGATAGAAAGACGCCTCCAATTACTTTTCTCTGGAACATTAAGATACCAATTCAATACAGGAGAGCTGAACTTAATATCACGGGTTAACTGAAGAGCCAGAGAAGGTTAGAGAACTAGTTAGTAAAAAAAACTGTCTCAGAATACACCTACCTGCTTCAAGTACATGCTCTTTCCACACGCATTCGGTCCAGTGAAGATTTTTATTCTTGTATACTCGCCGCCGGAACTGTGATGAGAAAGATGCAGAATAGGAAGAATAATCATTTTGAAAGAAAATTGCCCCACCTAATTGGATTCGCAACGAAATGTTCAGTGATAAGCTTCGATAAAGGATGCACCACACGTGTTGCATCGATGATGGGTTCTTCCACAAACTTGGGACGGTTCCATTTAAAAACAGAATGATTATGATCATAAGCATCGTGTATCACCCTACGCCATGTCAGCAGTATGCTTACCCCAACTGTCTTGCTGTCAGTGCGAGAGAAATCGCAGCATCCAACAAACATGCGACCCGCTCAACACCTTGCAGCAATGAAGAACGTGACAATAATAATGAAGACATCCTATAGTGAAGCATGTAAGAATTTATAAAACAGCTTTATACAATCACTATTTATTGATGCATCAAGTAAAAACAGCACGAATGCGCTTAAGAAGGGTGTGTGTTTGGCAGAGATCAGCTGCCCTATAACGTGAATGTAACATTTGACTAAAAAAACTGCAGTTTCCCCTTCCATACTTTGCAGTCACGATTTGATCTAGCCATCAATCAACATACCTGATGGTGATAGTTGTTTCTTTATCTATAATTTTCATTTTCACATCGCCTAGTTCCTCATCCAGCTCTCTCATCCGCTCGCTCTTCACATTTAGAGTTTTATCAGTCGAGTAGATCACTTGAAGGCTGAACTAATATCAATCGAAAGTTATGAAAAATTATATGCACAGGAAGAAGAGTAAACATTGTTTTCATTTCTGTGCTATCCCCTCAATGAAATTTTGCTGCATAAGGGTTCACTAGTTTTCGCAGATGATTGCAAAACGTTAAGAAGTCCAAAGTAGGACAATATTTATATCAGCTAATCTCCTATGTTGATCTGCTTTGTTCCCCGAATCTTCTACGACCGCTATTGCTTCCATTTGCTTTGCTTTCACGATTCAACTTTCAGCTGCTTCGTATGGGCAAACATGTACGCGCCCCTATGGAGGCGACATGTGCTTAAGCCTCGACCCATCTTCTCGATAGACTCAGTCTCTGGGCACAGATGATCACTGCTATTCCAATCCAATGCCCACCTTAAAACTGTTGCACTCTTTGGGGAATTTTTGGGGCGAGCTCTAGCGAAGAACATCGATCAGGTACCGCGGTCTTATAAGCACACTTCTCAAGAGCTTACCACTGTATATAGTCTACTGGTATTTACTGAGGAGACTAGACCAAAAGTCCAAAACAAACGAAAACCGGTAATAGGAACGCACTCATCAAACTGCTTTACGTCGAAGTCGTACGGGATCGCTAATAAATAGCCGATCATAGGTACATATGCTACCGAACAAGTGTCAGCCTGAAGACGCTTGGATTCGTCTTGTGCAACTTGTGTGAGAATTGCAGGCAGCCGACGGTAGAGATCTTTTGCTAGAAAATTAAAACAAAAAAGTGATAGAGCGCGTAGTAATACAATTGAATGAAGCAAACTATGAACATATAATACCTCTGTCCAGCTCAGGATCAACACCTGAATTGACCGCAATGCGGTTTTCGAGACGAGATTCATGGAAATCGATCTGAAAATCCGTTCTCAACACAAAATGGGTAATGAGCAAGAAAAACACACGAACCATTGCACCTAATACAGCTACTGTCTCAGTCAGGGTGTCTCCAAAACATTCTATGTCATCATCTACTAGGGACAATTTCGCACTGAAGGTCTCCATGTATCTACCAATGGATACGGCATTTGAAATCATCTGCAAGAAGCTTCCATAATCAAACGACACAACAAAGCTTGATAAGGGATACGTTTCTAATCCCGAAAAGTTTCAAAAACAGACCTTGTAAAGGCTCTCCCAGTGCCTCACCTTAGCTGTACCAGATCTCAAGCGATCAAGAATGTACTAAACAATAAATGCAATTTCAAGATTCATTCAAGTTTTAGTGCCTGTGTACACGAACCCTCATACTCCTCATGGATCCCAGGAGACCGTAGATTTTTCCTGTTGTGTCCAGATTGCAATCCTAAAACTCTTGCGACATCTCTAGTTCAACCTTATTGTCAGCCAGAAATTATGGCGCAACAGAAATTCGAACCCAGAACATTTTTATGAAAGGCTCCTATCACGAACCTGAAGGAAGTACGAGATCGCTTGTTGCCGACTAACAAGAATGTCCCGGTTTGTAGTGGGTCTCTCGAACCATTTCCTGTGAAAAGAGACTCAAAACATCAAATCTAATTATGAGAACTACAGTTTCCGTCATCAAACTTTAACCTCATCACCAAAGCATTATTTAGACATTATCTCATCGTTGAAACGCAGGATATTGGAATTGAAAAGCTGCTGATCAGAGGGTTCTCGAGCGGACAATTTACTCGAAAATTACACAACACAATTATGTAATGTTCAGGATGACAAGTTAGAGTCAAGGGACAAAAAGCTCGCTCTTGATGTGAGTAGAATTGGCATTTTAACGGCTACCTAAGCGAAGCTTCTATTTAGTTCTATTTCCCTCACCAGGCCACTACATACCTTAGCGTGTTTCTTCCAATTCCCGATTTGCATCTGTTACATAGACTAAATAGCGATACAGTGCAGCGATGTCGAGCAACACCATGCCGGTAATTTCTCTGAACGATACTTTCCAATGCCTGGCTGCTCTCATAGTCCGCCGGTCGGCCCGCGAGGGAGCGAGCGAGCTAGCGCGCCGGCAGAGGGTGGCGCTTGCCCGTTATTTACAGAAGAATCTTGGTCAATACCGTCGGCCAAGTAGTCCCCCGGCCGGCGCACTCGCTTGCTCGCTCGCTCGCGGCCGGACTATGAAAGCAGCCCCTCAGTAACCAAGAAAAGGATCACTAAACTATTAGATATTTTACATCACATTCATATTCTTATTTACACTAGTGATGAATAGATTTACAAACGGCTTAGCGATGAAATACCTCTGCCTTTTTGTTTTCAGCGAAAATATCAAGCGCGCGATATGTTGCCTCATCGATTTCTACCATTTCTGCGCTGTAATTACGGTCTTCGTGATGATGCAGCAAAAAAATCATGGTGTTGCTTTTGAATGAAGATAGTTATATAACTCACACGACTATTGATTTGATAGCAGTAACGGGTGTTCGTACATTGAGCGGTTCGAATTCAACTCCTATACGAGCTGAATCTAGATACCTCAGCAACGCTCCCATGGCGCGCACCTATACAGTTAGTAAAAGCGAAGTGCATAAGTAATATTCAAAATGGCTCAGCGCACCATATTTCTCGAAGATATATCGATCCGAAATCTTGTAACCAACTGATTCTCGGACTCGCTGAAGCATTCTCCGGCAAATAATTCCGAAATACGTTTGAAGCCAGATTCATAATCTAGAACATGAAGAAAGCCACTACGCGGGATTAACCCTTTCAACTGTCCACATATTTTCAGCCTCAAAATGCAATGCTATGACATTGGACATAATAAACTTAGTAAGAAAAATTTTGTCCATGAATCCATTGGCTGAGAGTACGTGACGGAAAAAAGAAGCCTAATGTGATGGGCCGTCGTTATTTAAAGGTGTAGCCGTTTCAACTCGTTTGGATCTCTACAGCAGTTCCCACGGCTTGAGATTGAGCTCAGCTCACGCTCGAAAAATAGCTAAGAAGTGACCCAATGGGCTGTCGAGTTCGTTGAACTTTTTCCATACTCTGAGCACTTATAAAAAATTTTGGTGCAAGCCCTTCATTTGGGTATAATTTTCCAGTAAAGCATCCTTGCTGGTATGTGGGTGTACGGGCAGTGTGGCAGTAAATATGAGATCAATAAGTGATCGAAGCCCCGGAGAGTCAGAAGGAAAACAGAACTGTGTTGAGCAAGAGGAAGATGACCTCATCCAAACTGCAGATCTCCCTCGTTTGGGGCATAGTGGCGAGTACTTTTGCTTAGAAGACTCCCCTCTATTCCCTGAATTTCTACTCTCCACCAGCCGGTCTGCCGGCTCGTGTTACCTCTCAGCAACGGCAGAAGATCCATGTGGAGGGAGCCCTCCACCTCGCCTCAGACGTTTACTAGTAGCGGTGTGCGATTTTCTGGCAGTCAGGCTGCCCGGCCAAAATTCCCTTCTCTCAAAAATTTCCACATAACAATGAAACAGCCTAGTGGATCCACACAAGCTATCGGCAGGGAGATATATACTGTGAAATTACTCCAAAGTCACAACCCAACAGTCCGACAAAATAAACTTGTCGCTATACTTTTTGAAGACTTCTTGAACTTTTGGGCAACCAATCTCACTTGCTCTCGATTGATAACGTTAAATTAATAGACAACACTAAGCTTGTAGTTCTTTTCGTCGATCATCGCTAAATCATTCACGGGAATATGCCACGAATACGGCAATAAGCTACATTCGCTTACACTATCCTACTCTCCTCTCTTTCGAACTTATCTTTAAAGGCACCATTTACGATAAATTTAGGGTACCCTTTTTTGACGAGAATTGATGGAACCACTCTAGAATAAAGCGATAACAACGAAAAAAGCGCAAAAAACGCTGAACAAAAAGAAATAGAAAGGGCCAAAAAAGAGCTGGAAAGGGGGTTGGACGAGTTTCACATTGGAAGAGCGGCGGTTAAGGGAGTGTTCGGGCGAGTGCACGAAGGTGACGCAATGTCTGCAATAACAGACAACACATCCAATTTGCCGGACAGTCTGACTGGCAGACTCTGGCAATTTGCCAGCCAGCTTATCGATTTTTCACCAATTTCGCTCCAATGCGAAAGTGGTGAACGGCAATTAGATTTCGTGGTCAGCCTAGCGAGGGGCGGAGGACGACCGTGGCTCACTCTCCGGCCCCTTATTGTGCCCTATTCAGAACATTTTCCGACCTCATTCCTCCACAAATGGTATCAGAGGGGGCGTCGAATTCAAACCATGTGCAAATCTCCGAAACATTATTTCGTGAACGGTGCCTTTAACAATGAGACACTCTTTAGAAATATTATCTAGCGAGCTTGTAACTGGCCTAAGTGATTAAGAATATCAAAGTGAATATAAATATGAATGAATTTATATCCAATATTACTTGACGTTTACGCACTTCGCAGTCGCGCTGTCGAATATAGATGGCCAATCATCACGAGACTTACTGTAGGCGTTGTTAGGAAGAAAAATCAGCGTAGGCGGTTTCGGTTCCGATTCGAAATCATCGTCATCAATATCCTCTTCATCGCCTTCCTCTTCTGGTTGCTCCTCTTCTTTATCTTTACTCTCCACAGTTACGGATTGAGCAGATAAATCATCCAAATGAGAGGAATTGTCTCCACTAGCAGCTAAAGAACCAGCTGAGTGAGTGACACCCGTTGTTCCCAGATCACTGGAATTCTCCACGTAAACATCGTCGGGAGGCGGATCTTGTCCACCTAAATCGAACTCTCAAAAATATGGGAGTTAGCTAGTTTCAAATTCAAGATGGACAGCAAAATTTGTTGTTATTGAGGTAGGCATGTAACTAACAGAGTACGCAGATGAATGATACCATACGGACATCCTGAGCTTTATTGGAGAGAATAGTTGTCGGTTCTTCTTGCTGGATCACTGAAAATCAACTTACAAGCGAGACGTCCAAAACCTCGGAAGTAATAGTTATACATACAAGCTGTCAATAAGCGAAATTCATGATCCTCAGCGACATCACGAAGCAACTTGATGGTGGTGCGACCCTGATCGTACACAGCGGCACCAAGATAGCCGGCACTAAATGCTCGAGAAGTGAACGTGGAAAGCAACTTCACTATCGAGTTTTTGGGAAACATTCATTATTATACAGATACATGGGCATCGGTTAGCCCTCATTTCAAGGAAAACTTTGCATAACTCACCTGTAACTGAGTGCGAGAATGATAGCATTGTCATCTAACTGCGATGACGGAACAATTTCTTGTTCTTCATCCATGCCAGTTTGGAGAGATCGCCTTGGTCTGTAACCCTTTTACACAGCTGTAACTTCTTATTGGACAGTTCAACATTTAAGCAATCAATTGGTTAGTGACAGCTCATCTAACAGTATATAGCGTTGCCCATGGTATTCCAGCAAAGTTGCAACTCTTATGCTCCGCGCTGGCCTATGAACGTACCTAGGAAAGCATTCAGACGTGCTTATTTGGCTGCGCTTTTATGTTAGCAACTTGTAAAGGCTTCCCGGTGTTTAGGAGTTTGCAGCTGCAAAACAGAGCAAGTACGTCTGGGCATTTGGAAGACCGGAACCCTGGTTTGAGTTGAAGAGGCTATAGATCACACAATGTATCGATCGACACTGGCGCCTTCCACCTTTCGTCCATCGGCCGGCGTGGAGTATAAAGCACAACATTCTCGCATGTTTCCGTGTTAAAACACGTCATTTAGCATACTTTGTGTCATAGGATCGGGGGGGGGGGGGGGGGGGGGGGTGTATGTCGTTTGGCGCGACTCCGCCCATCGCACCGTTCAACTCGTTCAAATCGCGTAATCTTCCGGAGCGATGGGCGGAGTCGCGCCGCCTCAGATGGACGGCGCGACCCCGCCCATCGCGCCAAACTACCGGTTATAGGTAGATCGGGGTTATAGGTATACTGGTGCGTCCGGAGAAGCACGCGGCGAACTGTACGGCGAAATTTGTGACGATTAGGACGACTTTGGCGTTTCTAAGACGTAAAGCATGTATACTGACATCCAGAGTTGAAGGTGCACACAAGCAAGCCCATTTGATCTACATGAGGAAATCATGTATTTGTTGGTCGCGCAATTTGCCGCGCGCGTCTCCGGGCGCACCACTGTTCCTTCCACCTAGGATCGAAGGAGCATCATCGGATGGATAAGGTTTCACAGGACTTAACCAACAGGATATCATGTATGTGAGGGAGCAGAGGCGGGAGTGCAAACAAAACATGAGCCCCGAAGTAGAGGGTGTAGTGTCATCTATTACTCCACCAGCTTGGCGCGCTCGCTCCACCCAATCGTGCGCAATGACGGATTTGAATTTCCAATGGTGGAATACTGTAATCACGTTTAATGAGTGAAAATCCTGCAAGGTGGCGACATATTTACATGACAGCTTTCTCATCAAAAGTCCGTTGGTTCAAACATTCACATCTTCTGAAAGTTTATTCACTGTCTCGAAGGCTGGATGAAGGATGCATTCATGGCTGTCAGCTAGTGACTAGGATCATCTGTGTAACTAAATAGTTGAGAGTTACTAGATCCAGACGAGGACTTCGAGAGTTTCATTGGATCAAGCTTGCAGTGTGAAGGTTGGAAGTACCAACAGCATGGGATGAGAAAAGATAGGGCGTGATTTGATTTCAGGGCGCGATCCATGATAAAAGGCATATCAGAGATTTTATGAGCTTGTGACCCTCAAAGATAGCCTGAGGAATGCTGTCGAATCGAAAAAAGGGTAAGATAGGGCGTGATAAGTGCTTTAGACTTTTAAATCGTACACACCCAAGGAGGAGGAACGGTTGTAAAAGCTGTAGAGATTGCACCATCCGCACCGGGACCCACATCCTGCATGCAGGCAGCGTATTGCAGCCATCTGTATGCACGGGTGCACGCGTTCGAACCACTCGTCCAAATACGTCTTCCATGCAGCCTTTTCCGTAACATTCTTTTGAAGACTTATTTTTCTCCAAATACGCCAATTTTCGCGTTTTCTGACTACTACCGGTGCAAAAGTGGGAGCTTGAGTTCTGACACAGACTGACTTTTCGCCCTTGTACTGGATTTCCAAGTTGGTGGGAGTTATGGGAAGACAGCACTACGACTTCTTTACGTTTGGAGCTGGTGCTCGGTAAACAGAGCAGGACTGGCTAATTCCAATATATTTTGAATGCAAAATAACCGTAATTGGAAGCTGTAGTCGTCAGTTTGACTTAAGAATTAGCATGAACTCATGCTGCGGCCACAATGTCATTTTTTTAAGACAACGGCTTTATTCTACACTGTTCTATATGAAAGTTGCACCTATTGATCAGGGAAGTAGACTACCTGACTGCTGCTCCGCTTCAAAAAGGGCAGTTGGAATCGTTTCAATGAGCTTTTGAACATCTTTCTGAGATTGTCCTCTCAAGCATCGCATTCTTCGACTTTCCAACATTCCTGAAACGAGGCCTTTATTGTGCAGACTAAGCGATTGACAACTGTCCGATTCCTTTTCTGTGGGTGGTAGGGAGAGATGGAGGGATATGGGTCCAGGTGCATTGCGGTACCATCGTGACCATCTTTTTGAAATCGGATCCTTGCAGCTTCCATAAGTTGCCGTTCTACGGCCCTCTACCTTTACCTTGTAAAGGATACTGATACCTATACTCCGCAATAACAATGAGATTTCACTTCCTCATCTCCCCACTTATGGTATTGTGTGTCGTGCCTTGGATGGGAGCTGTGACATGAATAAGGTTCAAGATATACCGTGGCAGTTCGTTGGAACTTAAGAATGACTGTAAAAATGTCCGAGGCAAAAATATTTTATTCCTCAAAGTTACATTATCGAGAACAAATGAAAGTGAACAATCACATGAAGAACCTTTCAGGTTCCATTGAGATACAGAGTGTGTGAAAGTGTGAAAGGCTTAAATATCATGAAAGCGAGGTGTTAGGTGCGAGAAGTGGTAGCCCCCGCACTGCACCTACTCCTTGCTGCTTGAATATCAGCAAAACGATTTTCATGTTTGGAACAGCGCCCAGCAAACTGCGTAGAATGAATGATCAACGGCTCTTGCTTTCCAGAGAGAGGAATTCGATTCACATGCTTAAATATTCAACCATTGCGACAAAAATACCCAATCTGACTTTCAGAGATCAAAGGAAAATTATTACCTCGCTATCGAATGTCCCCTCTCGACAGAGGTTCAGCCGACTTTGGAAAAGGGCTGCGTAGCCGGTCATGAAGGCATCTACGCCAGCACGGTGACAGCCTACCAAATCATTGTCCTGATTGAATTTTGCCAATGTAACAGTGTAACCTGTCAGAACTAACCTGTTACAGCAATCCTTGGCCTATTTTTCAATTCTTCAACAGACACTCGCTCTCTACTTGCTTCTTTTTTCTCTTCCTCGAGTTTCTCTTTGTGCAACATGCTGTCCGGCTTCAAGTAGTCAAATCTAAACGATTGTCGAGAGTAGTTCTAAGAACGCACAAAATCGCTGCTATAGAAGTGACATTTTAGAAAATTTTCAATTTTGAAAATAGACAAGACTGCGTCTGCAAGTCCAACAGGTCTTGCAATCCAACAAATCCTCTTTGCAGTTCAACGGTATGGTGATGCAGATGCAACAAAACAGCGCATGACAGCGCTCGTCATTTCACATTATGAATCAGTATGCTAAAAATTCTATTACCTGCTGGCTGCCTTATGGGGCAATTCTTAACGAACATAGTAAACTACTATTTACTAGTGTAGCATTTCGCATATTGCTAACCAGTCGATAGATAATAATTTTTGTCCAACGAGCGGGTTCCCAGCTCATTTCCTTTCCTACCTGTCGTAGTTTAATTTTCTATCTTTGTAAATGATGTCACAGAAGCTGAGGAGAGTCTGATACAACCGCCCAAGTGTCTTTGCGTTAGACTGGCTCTATTTAGAATGTCATGCAGCAACTTCCTATGGCTACCGACAAGCTATTCTCGGAGCAGCGACTGCGCAATACTTCATAACCGTTCTCGCGCTGGTAAGAAAAGATTTGTGAAATCTCCATCCAGCGGTAAAAACCTACCTTCTTTTACGCTTCTTTCGGTTTCGTTCTTGTCGCAATTGCTCC